ATTTGGTTTATATTTAATTGATAAACTACACTTCTATTTGCATTATCAAAAGGTATCACCTTATTTGTTACTGTAACTAGAGGACTGTGCATTGGTCTGAACTTCCAATTTTTTCTTGGTAAAATGTCTAGATCATTTCTACCAAGGATTGAAGATTTACTCTTCATTTTATGATAGATTTATATAGATCTGGTTAGGAAATGAAATTTGATACATTCTCCCTCCATTCCTATGCTTTTGTGCCCCAGAAAAACACTTGTTTGAATGACAGCAAAATATGAACCCTGGAGATTTGTACTGGCAGAATTTTATTCCATCTTTACTTAATAACAAAATCTCTCTAAGACCAATCACAAAGTAATTTCATTTGACAACACTGCCACCTCAACAGAAACTATATATATGATTGTCATTATTTCCTTCCTATTCTACTGCATGATGAGTTTTGACTTTTTCTCAAAGCTCATACAGGTAACATGTCACAATACATGCAGAAAAATATACCAAGAGAAGGATATTTTCCTATCAAGGTCATTCAGATACCAGGCTTCCTCTTTCTTCTGTGTTGTATAGAGTAAGATAACATCGGCTGTTTCAAACTGGCTTTAATACCAGGATTAAAAATGGACTAGTTTGTAAATTAATATAACGTTATTTTTTTCCTTGAGCTGGAATAGACTCATGTATTAATTCCTACAAACAATACAATTTATCTCAAGGAAAATTCTACTTATAGATTTGGCTTATTTTTGAGTTTTTAATAATCTAATAAAGACAGGTAACTGTTCATTTAAGATTAACCTGATTTCAATGAAAAACAGCAAAAAAATTGATGCTTAATTGGGTTCAAAATTGCTTTTCCTGTCCACAGTCAGCGCCATATTCTTACCTACAAAGATTTAGTTGGCTTTGTTTTCTAGGTTTTTAAAAGTGCATTCTGTTTGGTAACAGAGCAAATGATGATGCCAAAAAACAACCTCATGCATAACAAAATGTATTCAATATAAATGTTTATAAAATAACATTTTTATTTGTTTCAGTCTCTGTTTTGAACTTGAGATCATTTATTATCATTTTCTGTTTTGAGGTAAATATTTTTACAAAGACAAAAATACCGATTTATAATTACACCCTAGTTAACTTTTTAAATTGGGACTAGTTCTAGCAAAACTATGATCTCTGATATTAATAGCTCCCACTAATATAATATTAACCAGAATACTGAGAGTTTTGACTCCATTGTATCTTACAGATTTTCCCCCCACATTTGGAAAGGAACATGGTTGTGTGAGACACTCACAAATCTTTAAACTCGCTAGTACAAATGCTTTAATGAGTTCCCACTAAAATGCTTTCATTTACTACTACAATGTGAACATTTATTCATGTTCTTGATCAATAATTTATTTCTGAAAAGTCTTGGAAGTCTGACCAAATTGCTACCTTTACGAAGATATCATGAGAAATTAGCATTGAGATTCTATGTACAAAAAAGACGAGATTTACCAAGTTACATTTTCAGTTCTGCCTATAATATTCTGGTGTCCAAAAACAGAACAAATGAAAGGTTCTAGTGAGTTACTAAGTTTCTGAGACTGGCCTCAGCAGTCCTATGAAACATCTTACTCTGTACCAAAACAAATTCCAATGGAAGAAGATGAAAATAATCCAGTTCCTTCAGTATGTAATCCAGATACTGGTCTCTATGCTCACAAAACATGGGAGAACTGTCTGGCTAAGGTCTAATAAAAACAAGGTGATGTAGGATATAGGCAAGTTATTGTTCACATTTTGGGGTATCTGTTTTTGAATAAACATTAAAAATTATGGGTGCATGTACAAAGCATTAGATAGTCAGGAAAAATCATCTTAGAATATGTGCTGGAGCAGGAAGTATTCTGAGGGTCTTCCATTGACTATCAGTAAGTGTCTGAATTTATCAATATTTCTTCCTACTATCAATATTTCCCCGTCAACTCATGTGTAAGTTTAGCCCCCAAGCTCATCTTCACTTTAAACAGATACTCTTTAATATCTACTAGGCACTTAGAGCTTTTTCATAAATCAATGTTTTTCATAATTCACCTATTAAGAAGTAGTTCTCTTGAGTGTTTGTTTTCAAAGAATTTCCTTTTGGCCTCCTTGGCTTAATCACCAGCACACCAGGCTGCTCAGACCTGTGAGCTCACAGAAAACCATGCCCTCTCTCTTTCTCGCTTTCTCCTTTATTCCGCTATTGCCCCAAACGAATTCTTTCCTCCCTTAAAAAAAAGTCTTTATCCCATGTATCAATGTAAACTGGCATATTTGAAGAGGTGCAAATCCCACATGCAGATACTCCTTAACCGAAAGTATTTTATGGTTTACTCATCCCCTCAACAATGCTCTTTTTGTTTTCCCCAGTGCAATTCTGTCACCTTGAATGCCTAAGCACAAATACTTTCTGAGGATAGGTTCAAGAAGTAAAGGCCATGCTCTACCCTTTAACGTCAATATGTATTTTTAAAGTCACAATCACTCCATCTTCATTCTATTTTCTCAAAGAAAGACAAAACGTTAGTTGCAAACTGCAACTAGGCTACTTTGTAAAGGCAGCTTTTCTAGAACCAGGGCCGCATTTTCCAAAACTCCCTGCGCAGGCAGCGCAGATAGCAGTAAGGGAATGTGACCAGCGCTGGGACACGACTCTCAACTCTGCTGCTATAATCAGAGAGAAAGGTGTTTCTGAGGGGCGCAGAGGACTCAGAGTCCGTCCATTTGAGACATAGCCCGCCCCCTCATTGCTTTCTGAAGTCAAACCTAACGTAGATATGCTCTAAATAAAGAACAAACGTGGAGACATGAAGAGGACAGGAAAGAGAAATGTCTGGATTTTATCAAATGATTGCTGGGCTGGGCGTCTCCATACTGGGAAAAGAGTGGGAACCACTGAACCCCCAAGTCTGACTGTGTGAGGCGACTGCGACCTGACCCCGGCTCACCCTCCCTCCCTTCCCCTCCCCCCCCCCCCCAGCCCCGCGCTCTCCAGACCTCTCTTTCCAACCCCAAAGGGACCCGAGCAGAACTTTTCTTGGGGTCCCTGTGGGAGTCGCTCACCCCCAGCTCAATCATTTTGCCTTTTTCCCCTTCCTGCCTCCCGGGCTGCTTGTTCGTGGTTTCCAGAAAGGTCAACCCCGGCCGACCTGGAGATGTGATTTCAGGACTTCCAGAAAATGACAGCGTTCCCCAGCCGCGCCCCCGGCTCACCTCCAGTCTGACCTCTGGACTCGCAGCACCACCTTTCCTTAGGCGCTCTAGGACGCACAGAAATGAGGCGCGCTACTGCGCCCCCCACCCCCACCCCATCCCCCGACCCACTCCTAGAAAGGTCGCCTGGTCTGGAGCTGGCGAAGCCTCCGGGCTCCAGCAAGAGAAGAAAGCACATGGTCTCTCTTGGTCCTGAGCCTGCTGCAGTGGATTCTGGCTGTCCACAGCCAGGGCAGGGGCGCAAGGGTCCACGGAGGGACGGAGACACTCCTAAGGGACTGGTAGCCTCAGTCCCTGGCCCAGACGGCTGCAGAGTGGCGAGGACCCCTGTAGCCCGTTTCCCCAGCCTCACTCCCAAGATGTGGCCTCACCCCAATAACTACAGAGCTGGGCTGTGAGTTTGTCTGGCAGCTTCTACTGAGCAGCTAATGGTATAACAACCCGGCTTTGATAAATCTGAACTAATTACCCCTCTTAATTAAAGTCTTTAGCAGTTGTTTCACTGTTTTGGCAAGAAAACAGGAGAGACTTGCCGTTAGAAAACACCAGAGCCTGAGCTCACAGCCGAGTTGCTGATTAACACTTGAAGCGTTTCAAGGACCTGGCACCCGCCACAGCTTGGTTTCCATCCATGTTTCCTCCTTGAATGGAAGCATATTCGTCTGTAAACATACTTACACATACAAAAACACGGAGACTCTCCCTGCCAACTTGTGCAAGTTAGTGTGTGCTTTCTGAATGGAAATAATGGATACCTTTGCTGTAAAGGCATTTTTGGAATTGTGCATAGCAGGCAATCCTCCTGGACAGAATAGGCTGTTTCCACTTCACTTTTGCACTACAAATCTATGTCAAAGGCATGTTGCTGTTACAAAAATACAAGTCTTTTGCTTCTGCCCTTGACCACATTTTCTAATCTTGCCCCAAACTATAACCATTACTGAATATTTTGTTCAAAACATTAGGTATTGTCATTAACTCGAAATTGAACTTTAAAAAAAAAAAGGACACAGATAAGGAAGGTTAAAGCCATGGTCTTTCGTTTAAGTTTGATTAAATAAGCATGTTCCAAGTATTTATTTCCAACAGTCAATGAATCAACTTCCACGTGCAAGAATCAAAATAATTCATTCATAATGAACCACCCTAATCTATTGTGTGTATGTGTGAATGTGTATTCATGAATACGCAATGTGCTTTTAGAGAAACACACATCTATGAATGTGCTTGTGTGTGTGTGTATATATATATAAACATACACACAGTGTTTTGTTACTTTGAGGAAAGAGGAAATGATAAACCATCAGCAGGCAGCAGAATCGACACAGTGGAAATATATACAATAATAAAATTAAAATGGTGCAACATTCCCGGATAAAATAATACAAGTCAATAAATACAAGCAGAAATTCCTTTTCAAATAAAATAAACACCATCTCTCCACCCGAGATGAAAAAAAGTCTTTCTAATTTTGGAAGAAAAATAAAACAGGAAACAAAACCCTCCAAATTTTTTATAATTGTTACTTAGAGCCTATATAGAATATAATACACAAAACCATGTAGCAGGATGCATGCAAGAGGTAAATGAACAAGGAATACAGAGGCTTCTGGTCCACCCTCCAGTGTGGAGCCCAACTTGCCCTGGGGTCTGCAGACCAGCTTGGACCAGAAAGAGCATCTCTAGTCTGCTGCTGCCTCCGAGATGGAGCCTTCGGCTGGAGTTGTAAGGAACCTTGGCTTGGTTCATGATCACTAGTGGCCCTGGTGGAGCCCGGGTTGCAGGGGCCCGGGAGGAGGCTGCAGGGGCGGCAGAGTTGCAGTCGGAGGCTGTTGGAGTGAGGGCGTGGGGTCGCTGCCTGGCTCCCCTGTGGGTGGACGGGCCAGCCCCAGGCCGCTGTCGTGTAGCTTTCTGACGTGCTTCTTGAGGTCAAAGTTCCTGCAGAAGCCCTTGCCGCAGGTGGGGCAGGTGAAAGGCTTCTTGTCGTTGTGAGTGTGCATGTGGAAAGTGAGGTTGTAAACCTGATGGAAAGCCTTGTTGCAGATATTGCACTTGAACTGCTTCTCCCCGCTGTGCGTCAACTTGTGGTTTTTGTAATTCCCTGAAACAGACAAATGACTGAGATGAAAAGACCTTGAAAAGGAAGGACCCAAAGACACAGAAAGTAGAAGACAAGCCGAAGAATTGCTCTGCTAAGACCAGAGGTGCAGAGCACTAGTTTCCCTACATTTATTTTCAAACATTAACAGTGAGGCCATTCCTCTACATTTTAATGCACCCTAATTAATCCAATTATGCAAAACAGGGGACTGAGATTAGAGAGAAATATCCCTTTGGTATACAAACCAGGCTTTTCTCTAACACTAATCAGACTTGGAGTAGAATGTTAGAATGGCAACCTATGCCCCAGGAAACTAGCTGCACTTCATAAGTAATGTTTTTTAACCTCCTAGAACGGTTAAGAGTAGCTTTCACTAAGATTACCCCGAAAGGAAAGAAGTATCTCCTGACTCCCATACCTTTTTGATGAAATCCTTTACCACAGAATTCACACACAAATGGTTTGTAGCCTGCGTGTATTCGGGTATGCGTGTTTAAAGTGGAACTTCTATTAAATGCTTTGCCACACTGATTGCATTTGTGAGGTTTTTCCTAAAGAGGGAGGAGGGAAGAAGACAAAAATTGAAGTCATTCATTAATATTATGTGGAATTCTCCAAGCAAAACACAGTAATTAATTCTCTAAAACTTTTAAGCAGAACAAAGATACAAAATATACTATTGGCACCTTTCCCATCCAGCTAGCACTTTTGAACAAATCGTTTGCCAAGGAGTAAGAGCTCTATAGACCATTTTTCCCCCTGCAAATAGTTTTGAGGTATGCCAGGAGAAACTTCCACAGATGAACACACCTGCGTGTGAATGATCTTGTGCCTGCACAGGGTGCTGGCTTGCCGAAAACCCTTTCCACACACTTTGCACACGAAGGGTCTGGCTCCTGTGTGCACCGGCATGTGACGGGTTAAGTTATAGTGCGCATTAAAGACCTTAAAAAAATTAAACAGACAAATAACAGGTTAGTCAAAGGAGAAATGGGAAATCAAACCGGGAAGAGAGGGGGTAATTTACAAATGTCTGCAAATAATGACCCCCCCCCCAAAAAAAAACAAGAACAAGAAAGGAAAGAAAGGGAGGGAGAGGGAGAGGGAGGGAGGAAAGGAGGGAGAGAGAGAGAGGAGAGAGAGAGAGAGAGAGAGACTCCCTTCTCCATAGTACTTACTTTTCCACATACTTCGCAAGTAAAAACTTTGGGCTTGGTATTAGGTGATCCTCGGCTAAAATCCGAGGTTTTGAACGCGATTTTTTCCGACAAAAGCTGGGCGCTCTCTTTCATGTACTGCTGGAGCTGAGCCTGGGAGAGGTCTTTGAAAGCTACTCCGGAGGGGTACTTCTCCACCGACGGGACTACCAGTTTATTCCTTTCGGCTAAATACGTTTTTGGCTGTGGGTGTAAAGGGGAACTGAGAAAGTAGGAGGCCACCGGGTGGATGTTCACGCCGGCAGCCGGGTGGCAGGGGGCGTCGCCTCGGTTCAGGTAGCACAGGGCTCCCATGGCGTGGAAAGAAGAGTGGTTGACCACACGCGGCCTTACCAGTTTGTACTGCTGCAGGGGCAGTGCGTCGCGAGCCAGGTCGCCCTTGAGGCTCAGCGCGCAGTTGAGCAAATCGCTGCAGCTGAACGCGGGCGCCGAGGGCGCCGCCGGCGGCGCCGCCGGGGCCTCCAGACTCGCTTTGCGCGGCTCGGAGCCCGTCACCCCGGCCTTGGAGCTGGTGTCGTACGCCACCGGAACGAAAGGAATCATGCAAGGGATCGACGGGTTGAGCTGCAGAGAGTGCTTGGGGTCCCCCTTGGGCACGGTTCCCTGCAGGAAGTGGGGGACCGGCAGGGCCTTGGGTTCGGGGGTGCGCGCCATGATTCGTTCGATGGAGAAAGCCAAGGGTTTGGACGTGCTCATCACGTTGCCCCGGGTTGGAGCAGTCGCTAGCATTTTGGCGGTCGCGTTGTGGCAGCTACTGTCCATGTCTGAGTCGCCAGCGTCCGTCAGCTGGGGCCGGGCTGCGCGCTCGTAGTCTTGTTCCCGGCTCGTCACAGACCTGCGGAGAGGAGGACCGGCACCATCATCACCGCCAGCAGCCTCCTCCTCTTCTTCCCCGACATCACCAGCCGAACCTGCCTGCCCAGCCCAATGGACTCCTGCCAGCCCATCGCAGAGTTCTTGGCGCACCAATGACTCGGGGACAATCACTACTTATTTCTATCAATAGAAAGTGTTGTGTCAATAACGCAGCCAAGATCTCGCCAATCGTTAACTTCCAAGAGGAGAAGGTAAACTAGATAATTGCTCAATTCGCTTCCAACAGTCAACAGGAAAACTTTTTTTTTCTCTCTCTCTCTCCCTCTCTCTCTCCCTTCGCAGTCAGTGACTACTTTTCATTGGTGAGTGAGCTTCCCCCGCCCAGAAGAGGCGGGGGCGCTCTGGACCCGCGCGCGCCGCGCCCTCTCTCGGGCGCAAGCACTGCGCTCCCCTTCAGCCACCCCTCCCCCGCCCCCCGTGCTGCCTCCGTCTTTTTAATTCTCAATCTGCTTAACCAGGCTTGAGAGGCCAAGCAAATCTGAGATCAATTTTCTCGTTTAGCTCTAAGTGACATCATCTAAAAATCATTGTGCAAGGGCTAAATAAGGAAACAAGAGTCTAATGCAGGGGCAAATGCTAGGCTATATTTATCAAACGCCAGACTCCAGAAAGCCACCTCGGCCAGGAAGCCTCTGGCAGCAAAATCCAAGGTTTTCTCGCTGGGCTGGAATCCCGGCCGTGCCACTTCCTCCCGCAGCCCTCTTTCTTCTTCCAGGGCCCAAGGCTGCACGCGCCCAGGCCTCCCCAGTCCCCAGTGGCCTGAACCAAGCCTGAACCATTTGGAAGACTCCAGCAGGTAACTGGCCTTCAGAAATGCCCCCCTGAGAATTACAGGCCTTGGGAGGCTTGTTATGTGTTTGTGGTTTTTGTAAAGGCGATGCCCCTGGCAATAGGCTTGGAGAAAGACTTCTCTCGAACTTGCAAAGTTGAGCGTCACACCACAAGTCACCTAGACTCAGATCGGACCTCGCCCTGACTCACATCCAAACACACGGGAGTGTGCCCTTCCACGAGTTTCCGTTGGGGGCCGAGAAACCACTTCAGCTTCCCCCCCCTCCCTCCCTCCCTCCCTCCCTCCTTTCCTTCCTTCCTTCCTTCCTTCCTTTTTTTTTTTTTTTTAGAATCTGCGCTCAGTTACAGGTCTTAGTACTCTATGTCGAGAGGAAACGAGAAATAAAACTTGTTTCTGGCTGCCAAAGCCTGCACGCCGCCTCCCTAGAAGCAGGGCAGGCGGTTTCTGGGGCGTGCGCCCCGTGCCGCCAGCGCGGCGGACTGCGGGCACGGGAGGTGTACCACCGCGACGCTCCTGTCTCCCAAAGAGCTCGTCCCACCTACGATTCCCCAGTTGGACTCTCTCCGGTTGGTACCAGGAACCAAATTCCTGCGACGGAGCCGAATGGGTGCTGGTAAGGTTCCCGGAAGATGCCCGAACCAGAAGCCGAGACTGCGGGTTCCCGCGGCTCCGGCCAGCTCACGCAGCGAACAGCTGTGCGCAACTGCCTAAGCGCAGCTGGTGACCAGCCTGCCACCGCGTGGAGCTGAGCCCAGAGGGGCTGCAGGTATAGGGTGAAGTCCTGAAAGTACGAGTCCGCGCCCGGAGGTGGAGAGAGCACACTGGACTGCAATCTCCTGGGCGGTACGACTGGGACGCTGGGGTAAGTGTCTTCCCGCACACTCCAAGGTGTCATCTGCCTGGTGAGTTAACCCCCGAGCGTGTGAGCGCGGGGCGATGCCAAGTGTCTAAGCCAAGGGCGATGTGGGAGAGAGCCCTGGAAAGGGTCAACAGTGGGAGGTCGGACGAGGTCTGGGAACTCTGGGATTGCTGAATCGCTGAGCAATTTGACCCAAACATATGAAACTGGACCTCAAACGGAAGATATTGACCTCCAAGAAACACATACTCCCATCCCCAGAACACAGGCCAAAAGACCCAGGCCCTCAACCTCACCTTGTTCGGTGCTAGAGTTAAGCCCAGCCAAGAAGCAAACCAACAAGGGTGAAAAACAATGCACTGCGGATGCCCAGGGGCGCGGCAGGGCCGCCGAGCGGGTGGTGGAGTAACTTGAAAACGTGGGAGGGGTGGGACCCTTTTGAAGTTGGGTGGTGGCTCAGGAACCAGGTGGAGAGAAGCTTTGGCTTGAGACCCACCTGAATAGCTAGGCCTGGGAGAACCTCCTCTCTCGTCTGCCGACGGCTCCCGAAGCGAGAAGAATCACCGGCAGAGAGCACGGAACGTACCGGGGAGTAAAATGGGAAAAGTGCTACACAACCCGGAAAGCGCTTCGGACCCCCCCTTTGGCCCGGGTTCCCTCACACTGGATCCCTTCCCCCCCCCCCCCCCCCCCGCCTTTTACTCTTGGTGTTGGTAAAACCTGACTCCTTTCCCCTGCTCAGACAAAGGGCACAGGAAAGGCTTTGCTGATGGAAGGAGGTGAGATCCCTGTCCCACGACAGATGGTGGTGGTTAAGAATTTAATTGCTGCCTTTGGGGTAGATCGGGTTCCCTTTCCTACCTGAAGCTTCCTACCAGCGAAAAGTGCCCCTCCTGCGCACTTCTTCACACCAGGGCCAGGTTTAAAAGAAAGAAAAAAGAAAAGAAAAAGAAAGAAACAGCAAAGAAACACCCAACAGCATGGCTAAGCAAAGCCTGTAGCGCCCAGCTGACTCGCACCACTTACCGGCCTCCAGAGCGATACCTGCCTTCTTGACTGAATGCCTCCAGTTTGTTTTACATTTGTCGCGTGTCCCTCCCTCTTCTGTTCTCCCCCCTCCCCCTACTCCTCTCCTTAATGGCGAAAGAGCCTTCATTTGACCTCGAGAAAATTTCTCTTTCAATGGACATTAAATTAAAAAAAAGGGAAAGTACTGACGAAGGGGTATACATGTTTTGTAGAGTGAATATTTCAACAGTTTGCATTTCCCGAGTCTTTTCGGGGTTGCCTTTTCTGAGGAAGTGTTTGACGGTGTCATTTAAGTAACACAAATAGAGTTAGATATCCATTTATTTTCCTCTTTTAAGATAGCCCTGAGTTTGCCAGTCCTAAAGATTGGAGGGGCTTTACAAATCCAGGCCTTGATATGCTAGCATTTGCTAATATTTTCCATTTAAAATAGAAGAAAAACGTGTCATCGTTGGGTGAGATCTCAGTGAAGATTGTCTTTAAACTCAAAATGTATATAGGAAGAGTTTCTGAATTCTTGTCAAATCTAGTCACACTTTTTATTTCTAACGATTTGGAAAATGGAAAGGAATCGAGTCAGAGGATATATGGCAAATTTAGAAACTGCTAAATGATTCCATATTTAAAATGTGTAACTTTCTAAAAAGAACCTGAAAGAGCTTTCCTTTCTTAATGACAAAACAGAAACTCTTCTAGATTCTTTGGATTTTCTTCAAGAATCCTATAATCCTTTTCGTTCTTTCTTCCTTTCTTTCTTTCTTTCTTGTCATTGTTTGTAGGTAATAATTAAATATCCTTCTCCCTTTCCAACCATAAAAAGACAGTATTTATTTGCCCTTCCAATCATCTTAAATTGTGGTGGAAGTTGAATTTTAAGTGGTTTGTCCTGCTTGAAATATAAGGTAGATACAGCCTCTTTGATACAAAGAGATCAGGTAACAAACTTGCATTAAGACTTTGCTAAGCTAAAATAAAATAAAATGCAAGTCCCACTCATCCAAAATGATTAAGCTCCTTTTTTCCCCTAGAGAATATAACTTGATTTCAATGCTTTCTAAACCCTGGCCTTGCTATTACTTAAGAATTTACATAATTTCTCCAGGCATTTTTACTTAAGTCCCTGCCAAAGGCAAATGTAGTTTCTGGCCAACTTTACTGTAGTATGAGATAAATAAAAGAACAGAGCCCAAATTTGTAAATAATCTATTATCTACCTGTAATATGTATTTATTAATAAAGTCACAAACACTGTTAAATTAACAAATAGAACTGGAGAACTTGGTAACATCTCCAGTCTTCTTTCAAGTACATTGACTTGTCCCTTACCATACTTTTAGGGTTTTCAGGTCTGACATATAGTTCTGACCTGGTATTTCTCAAGAGCAGTTGACTTTCTGTTTGTTATTATTATTATTACCTTAACTGAGCTGATGGAGGCATTATTTATATTCTGACACACACAGACACTCAGGTACCTTTTCCTGTTTAATAAACTGCACCAAAGCAATATATCTGATTTTTAGAAAAGGAAAACCATTCCTAAATTCCTCGGTAGGCTTTCTCTCCCCCCACCCCCCACCCCAATCTCTGACTCATCTTTTGTTACCTTTGGTGTGTGTTAGGCCCCGGCAAAGTTAAAGGACACAAATAGGAAGAGTTTGCCTGCTTCAAGGAAACTAGATTGTTTTGAGTACTTGGAATAGTTAATTTGCAGTGGAAACTAACTTTCCAGGTTGTTAACAAACACCTAGGCAACGAGTTCACATTTAAGGCTGCTAATGTGGTTTTCCTTAGTTTGATAACAAATAGAGAATCCCAGGTAAAACTTGTAAAGCACCGGATCACCCGATTAGGACCGTGGGAATTCCCTGAGCCCTGCTTTCTTGTTTGTTTGGGTTTTTTTTTGGGGGGGGGGGGGGAGGTGAACAAGAGGAATCTGTTGTTTGCCTCCAGACCTTTGTTGTTACTATTTCTTTTATATTAGGATTTCGTTTAAACCTGGTGGAATTCTTCCTTTTAAAATGGTATTTAAATATTAACTTAGTTGGTGAAAGAAAATGACGAGCTTCAACCTGAGAGTTCGTTAAGGAGCAGGCTGAGTGGGTCCCGGGGATTCTGTCCCTACCTTACACTAACGCTGAGCTTTCTCTCATCAGTTCCCACAGGGCTGGACTAGATGGGGACAGAAGTTTGTTATAAAGAAGG